GCACCTGACCCGTGGGCAGAATCCAGTGTATGCGAGGCTGGGGTACGCCCAGCGCTCGGCACTGAAACTGGTGCCGATCGCCGATCTTCTTGTGTACGGTTACGTTCGGGTCGTTCACAGCGACCAGTCGTGGGCCGCACTCGTCGGCGATGGCCGTAATGTTTAGCCGCGAGATTTGGGTGCCGTTCAGCGCCGGAGGTTCGGCACAGACCACACGCTCCGGGCTTTCGATACTCAATGAACAGTTGTGTTGATCGATAAGACACTAAAACAAAAAGTGTTGTTTTTTGGATTAAAATAAATGGTAAAATATCTCATTAGTTTTTTAAAATATAAATATTAGTACTTTTAATAGTAATAAAACTTATTTAATAATAATCTCATAATTAATTTGATTTTATAATAGATTATTTCATTTAACGCTTTCAATGTCTGTTAAACTGAAAGCAATGGTTAAATAATAAAATAAATTTCACTCAAACCCTATATACCTTCCGGTAATCCATTTCTTACAATAAAAATAACAATAAATAAAAACCATGTAATAAAAGGCAGTATTGAAAAACTTGAGACAAACCTCATATAAATACTTGACATTACAATCGCAGACAAACGGATTTCCCATTAAACTGGCGGCAATCGACCGGCGCTTACTGTGGTGTTCAACGGCTGCGGTGGCGGTGCTGTGCTGTCGACCGGAGCCGCCGTTCGCTCCGACACCTCCTATCGCGCCGTTCGTGAAGCCATTGCCCAGAATATTGTGAACGATATCGTATTGAATTGTCTTAAGACCGCAGCCGTACAGCTCTACCGACTGGAGCAGTGGTAGGCCCACAAACGCCTGGCCATCAATAAAGGCCAGTCGGGGGTTACTGTGTAGGGCCAGTGAGTACAGGTTGGGCAGATCCCAGAAGGCGTACCGGTCGATGAGGGTCATGTGCGAGCACCGGGTCAGCGATATGGTGTTGGCCGGCAGGTGCCCAAAGTCACCGGTAGTGATTTGTTGTATAGGGTTGTTGTCCATACGTATAATGGCTATGCGTTTGAGCGACTGGAGAGCGATGGCGGGCACCCGTACCAGACTGTTGTCCTCCACGTGCAGCTCCTCCAACATGTCCAGCCCTACGAAGGCGTTGTCGTTGATGGCGATGATCTTGTTGTGCGAGAGTTGCAGTTTGCGTAGTGTTGTCATCGATGTAAATATGCCGCCCGTCAGGTGTGATATGTGGTTGTGCTCCACGTTTAGGGTCTGGTATTGGAGTTTAAAGGTAGAAATTAAGTGTTTTTGTTAATTATTTAATTTTTTAATTGTTTTTATGTATTTATTAAGCATTTAATTGACGTTTATTTAAATTGTTTGTTCGTTCAATGCTCTTATGGGGAAAATTATGGTAATTTTATTACATGTTTTAAATGCAAACCCATTTCTTTGAATGCGATTACAATTTTATTTCTGTCGGATTTGTCTATCGATTGGTTTAGCCATAGAAACCAATGCTCTAACCGTTTAATGCATACATTATTACATTAGTTGTGATCAGAGTATTGAGTAGTTGTGGTTTTGTATCATCTCTTTCATGACTTTCATCTCTCTATTCCCTACTTCTTCTACTAGACTTAGCTCTCTCTCTCTCTCTGACCAGAGATCTAATCGATTGATAGCCCGGCCATCGCCACGACTGCCCGGCCTTTTAGGGGGAGTCCTGTCAATAGTTATTATATTTTCATTTAGTATACATTTTAA